GAATATTCACCTCCCAAAAGTTCTATAAATGATTAATAATTACATGAAAAGATTCTCAACATCATTAGTTATCAGAGAAGTGAAAAGCACATTGACATAGCACTGCATAAGTACAGTATTAGAATAGCTAAAATTTAAAAGGCTGAAAATACCAAAAGGACGCGCCACAAATATATGGAGCAACTGGAACTCTCATACATTGCTAGTGAGAATGTAAATGATACAACTGCTTCAAAAAACTGTCTCTTTTATAATGAAACATACATCTCACATATGATCAGCCATTTTACTCCTAGGTATTTATTCAAGAGAAATAAAAACATATGTCCACACAAAGCCATGAACAAAAATATTCATAGCAGCTTGATTCGCAGTAGCCCCAAACTGGAGACGATTCAAATGTGCAACAATAGGTAAATGGATTTTTTATTTTTTTATTTTATTTATTTATTTTTTTTAGGTAAATGGATTTTTTAAAAGTGATATCCATACAATGGAATACTACTTAGCAATAGAAAGGAACAAATATTGTTCTGCTGAGTCAGAGAAGCTAAACACAACAGAGTACATACTATGTGATTCCATTTACATAAAATTCTAGAAAATTCCTACTACTCTACAGAGACGAAAACAAATCAGTGGTTGCCTGGGAATGGGATGGACAGAGGGATGACTGCAAAGGGGCAGGCAGCAACTTTTGGGAGTGATAGGAAGATCTGCATCATGATTGTGGTATTGGCTTCACAGAGTCAATGCATCTACAAAACTCTTTAAATGGGTGCTGGTTTTTGCACATAAATTATAACTCAATAAATTTATTTTTTAAATGTCTTGGTTATGTTAAAAAAAATAATCTCTGTTTCTTCCCTCAAAGGCCCTGTAACGCAGAAAAGTAAAATACGTGACAGTTTCTGTGCTATATAATAAAGGTTTGAACACAGGTCTTCCCAGAGACCAGGACCTGTGATCTTTGACTTATATCTGAAAACACAGGTTAATTACACCATACAGACTACAGGGGAGGTCCCTGAAGTGGAGGGAACAGCAAATACAAAGGCATGAAGTAAGAAAGTGTACAGTGAACCTAGGAAGTATGGGGCAAAACAGGAGAGCTTTTAGAAGTTGATTTTGGACCACTCTATTCTAGAAAGTGTAACAAATAGCTATAAAGGCAAAGAAGAGCTCTGCAAGCTTTAAAATAAGCAAGTGACATGATGTATGTGATGGGCATTACTAATGATCACCAAATATTTCCAGCTCTTTCCAGGAATGTGGTAGATTTCATTTCCCTGCCATTTGCAAAATGCAGCACGGTCACGTAACCACTTTGGCCAATGAAATGTGAAGGGAAGTAGTATGTGTCACATCCACATGAAAGCTTTTAGAGCAGTTTTTGATTTGGCACATTCTCTTCCCCTTCTGCGGTGATCAGAGAAGGGCACATTTGAGTGAGATTTCCCAGGAGGTTCCTGAGAGGCTATGATAAGCAGAGCTCTTCACCTTTCCCTGTGATGAGCATGTCCATAAATGGAGAAAAAAATGTCTTGTTACTATAAGATTGATGCTTAGGGATTGTTCGTAACTGCCCCAAAAGTAATCTAACCTTCCTGATACAATGTGCAGTTTTAGTGGAACTCTGACTATAACATAGATAATGGATTTCACAGGAAAGAACTTGCAGGGGAGGCTCCTGCAATCCACAGTTGATACGTGCAGGCACTAAGGCAGGGCCATGAGCTCAGGAAAAATCTTGAGATGTAATAGCAAGAACTGACATGTGTTGATAATGACTGAGATTCTAAAAGAACCTAGGGGTCAACTATTCTAGAGGTGTTGAAAAGAGAAAGTTTTTACAAGAAGAGGAATGACTAAGTGGGGAGGGGAAGTAAAACAAGATTAATTTTAAAATTAATTAAGATTAAATTTAACCTTTTTGAAAGGTTAAACAAGGAGCTACAAGCAGTCTGGCAAAGTGCAACTCATCAAAAGCAGAAGCACATCCCTATCCAAAGAAAGATCATGAACTTTGGAAGAAAACAGACCTGGGTGTGAATCCTCAGTGAATTTGTCAAGTCATCCAACGTCATTCATTCAGCAAATAATAACCAACTTCAATTATTCATTCAGCAATTGAACACCAAAAAGGTCCCTACCCTAATGGGGCTTACATTCAAGTGTAGGGAAGCCAGCACTACGTATTTCAGCATTGTGCAGAGAACAGACATGATACTGTGATTATGACAAGGAGGCAAAAATAATAATATAGGGCTTGTCAAAGACAATGACCACTTCACTTTGTTCAAAACCCTTATCTGGCACCAAAGTCAAAGGTAGAGATTTGTGTGTCCTTTGTATGTACAATGATAGTTCATTGACCGTAAGGGAGTAAGTGGGTTGTGCTTCACCCTTTTCTACTGAGCTGAGAACATCTCTATCTTGTGCCACCATTTCTCATCCACCTTATTTTCCTTCATGCAACTGGAGGATCAAATTCTACTATCGATTGTTTTGGATTGTTTTGTGAAGACCCTGGGCAAAGGGTTTCTACTGGGTCATTGCATTGGATTTCTATCACTCCTTGAGGTGGGTGCCATGACTATGCCCAGTGTACAGAAGAGAAGACCCAGCCCAGAAAGGTTGGATCACACTATTAAGTATGGAAAGGATTCAAAATTCAGAGTCTACTGTGGAGACCAAGCTCTTAACCACACTTCCTCCTTACTGTACAGGGTGGGGGGAAAGTAGGTTTACAGTTGTGAGTACATAAACCAGAGAGTTTATTTTTGTATTATTATTGTATTATTTTCCATACGAACAACTGTAAACCTATTTGGTCTCCCCCCTTCCCCCCATATTTACATGACAAGTTTCTCTCCTGCTCTGTTGTGGCATCAGAAATGAGGTGCAGTTGACTGCTCCTCCCACTTCAAAGGTGATAAAACTAAGTCTGGTCTTTCATCAAAATGACTTGGTTTCAGGGAAAAGAAATTAAGGTCCATATGGAGAAATCTTCTGGAATTCAGCAAAAAGGAGGAGCATTTCACACTAGCTTTGAGGTTATTTTCCCCCCAGGAAGTAGTGTTAGTCCATGCAAGATTATCATACACCACTTGGAATTCTTGGACACTGTTATTTCAACAGAGCCTCTGATGTCCTGTCTACCCAGGATGGCAGGAGAAGGTTCCATAAGAACCTCCTGTCAATAGGAAGATGCTACTACATACCACCCTGCAATATATGTGGCCTGGGCACACATAAGTCTTAATAAAGAGTTTAATATATATTTTATAAATATATAATCTTAATAAATATAACATATATTTGATTTTAATATATTTTTAATAATGCAATAAATCTTAATGAAGATGTAATAATAAAAGTCCATTATTTTCCTAAGAAGAGACCCTAATTCAATGCAGCTAACTTAACTGAGACATGCATATTAAACAGTGGCTCTCAAACTTGGTTGTAGGTGGGAATCTCCCGGAATCTTTAAAACAAACTGATACCCGAGTCCTACCACTGGAAAGTCTGGTGTAATTGGTTTGGGATGAACTAGGTATCAGGGTTTTTAGAGGCTCCTTCAGAGATTCTAATGCACAACCACAGTTAACAATTGCAGGCATAAAAAAATAAAAAAAATAATAAAAAAAACAAAGGGAAGACTATAATATTCACTCTACAACTAAAAGGAAAAGGGCTGTGTCTTCATTCATCTACTGTCAGGGTTTTGTTCACCTACATAGGTCTAATACACTATCAGACCCAATTCTAATTGAAGCAAGTGGTTCTCAGTGACCAAACCATATATTTCACGGATGGTGTTTGATGACCAACTGCTGCAGATGTCAGCGACACTGCTCGCATACAGGGGTTCCAAGCCTGGAGAAGAATTCAGGTGGTCTGTGAACTTGGATGGAAGTAAAAGTTACACCTCCAGCTTCACTAGCTTTCCTGGAAACTCAGCATTCCCTTGGGCGATGAATATGGACAACATTGATCATTGTATTCCAGTAGAACTGATTCTGATTTAATTGTGCTTTATGTATTTAAAAGCATTATTCTGAGAAGGGTCTGAATGCATCCCCAGAGCCATTGTGGTCAGTGGCACAAGAAAGGGCACCAGCCCTGCTTTGAAGAGTGTGCCCTGACGAGCCAGATAACTGCACTCTTGCATCCAAGGCCACCTCCACCAAGGGCACTCCGGGAGGGAGACACCCGGGACAAAGATGGCTCTAGGTTTCCCCTGCACTTCCGCAGATAAGATTTAGCCTGAAAAGCCAGTTCAACACAGCAGAGAATAGGATGGGCATTCTCTTTCGCCTCAGCTGCCTTCTGCTCTTGGCATTTCGGAGTGCCCAGACTGCCAGGCTGGTGGTAACTTGAGCCTCCAAATTAATCAAAACACACAGCGCCCAGTTCAAACCCAGGCAGACAAGCCAGGGAGCCAGACACGTTCTCCTCTGGTAA